GTAAAGGGTACTTTACAGCCTGTAAAGAACATCCAAATGCTGTAAAATGCCCCACCTCGCAGTCATGTGATCACAATCTGGTTGCTTGGCAACCCATTTACACTTGATCCTCATTTATCATCTTCTTTGCTTGTTTCCACAGAAAGTCAATGGAAAAGCTAGCAAGGAAGGTTTCAAGCTGCTGCGGCTGCCAAGAGAACTCCTTCTGGTCTCTGCTGGAGGATTTCATCAATCCAAGTAGGCATAGAGCTGAAATCCTTCAGCAGGCAGCTCTCTCAGCCAACCTACAGAGATGATGAGCCAAAATCCTGGCAAGGAGGATTTCTAGGTCCAGAGTAAAGGGATACCTGCTGTGGAGTTTGCAATTGTTGAGTGAAGCAGTCACTGGTCTCTTTTAATAACCATTTCACTCAACCAAGATTCCGGCCCCAATTGTGGTCAAAAGTCAAGGACTACCTGTATGTATGAATTGTTTAAAAAGTGACAAGCTGACAATCCTAGTTTTGGGGTGAGGCATACTTAAAAATCAAGCTAGGGCGGGGGTGTGGTCTGACCCACGAGCCCCATACCCATTTACCTTGCAGCCAGGCCTTTCCTCGCCGGCCCACTCCTTCTGCGACATCTTCTGCAGCCGGGCCTGCATTTCTCAGTCACAGACCTTTCCAGAAGGTCTGTGCAGCCAAGAACCGAGCTATGGATTAAATCCACAGTTTGGTTCAGCAAGACCTCTGCAGCAGAGAACTGAGATATGGATTGAATCCATAGCTCGGTACTTGGCTGCATAGGCCTTCCCGAAAGGCCTGACTGCAAAATGCAGGCTGGAATGCAGCTGCAGAATGAAGCTGTTCCTTCAGTCCCCCAAAAGAAGTGGACCGGCTGGGCGGAGTTGTCAGTGCCGGAGGTAAAACATGCCCTGAAAATAAGACCTGGTGCCTCTTTTCGAGGAAAAAAAAAAGAAAGACCCGGTTTTATTTTCGGGAAAACACAGTACATATTTTATACGTCTTTTTCCTCTTCTTTTTTGCATTTAGTTAAAAAAATAGAATTATGGTAATGTGTGCTATTTAAGAACTGCTTTGAAGAGTGTACAGAAACTATGACTAGTCAGAATGCAAATGAGTGCTTGCTTACAGGATTATGTTATTTTAAACTCTACACTGTGATTCTCAACTCAGTTTAAAGCATGTAGGTGCTTATTCTGGAAGCCCACATAAAATATTTTAACTACCTCCTCCAGGACCAACTTCTCTGTCTCCAAAATCCAGTGGCTAAAGCATTCTTTTATCTTACAACTGAAGCGCAACCAAAGACTGAAAGGCACAAGGGAAAAGAAAAGGGCTTTCCCATGGGCTCCCTTTGAGTTGTGGAATTCTTTAGACCAGAAAGTTAGCGTAGCCCTATTATTGTTATTTACAGCAATCTACCTTGTCTAGAAATGCAGTTGATTCACCAGCAAAATTACATGTTCTTCAATTATCTGCATTTTCTTTCATAAATTTTAATTTTATTATTGCTTTTCACCGTTAGTAGTTTTGAAGGGCCCACATGCAACAGAAACATAAACTTTAAATGGTTTCATCTCAACATGATGCTGTATATCAGTGTTTCTCAACCTTGACAACTTTAAGGCATGTGGACTTCAACTCCCAGAATTCCACAGCCAGCAATGCTGGCTGTGGAATTCTGGGAGTTGAAGTTCACATGCCTTAAAGTTGTCAAGGTTGAAAAACACTGCTGTATATCAACATGATTATTTGCAGTATCTAGTATTTTGAGGGGAAATTTGGAACAATGTACAGATTTTCAAGATGCCAACTCATGAGCTAATTAAATACCCAGAAAACGGAAAGATAGCTTAGATTAGACTCGCGACGTCACGCGATATATTGGGACGGTTTTGCCATTGCCGGCAATGGGGTGGGCGCGGCTTCTGGATGATGCGTCTGGCCCGTGGGCCGGCAGTTTGACACTCTGGCTTAGATAAATATACTCCATCAACAATTTTATTCAATTATTAGTCAAATCATTTTCAAAGATGAAACTGGAGAAATTTATTTTAGCCCAAGGGGAAAAACTTACCTGATACTATCACTCTGTATTCAGAACGCCTCGATGGGGGTCCATATCTGCCCCTTGGGGCCCCACCACCTCCACCGCCTCCTCCTCCTCCTCTGCCAGTGCCCCGACCACTTCGAGGGAACTCCACCCGTAGACGGTATCCATCATAATCATATCCATCCCGTCCGTACACTGCATCTTCTGCATCCCTGCAAGAATAGAAAAAAGAAAACCACACTGAGCTTAGATCCAAGGTTCCCGATTGACAGCTGCATCACAGGCCTTCCAGGAATACATTACAAGGAGGAAGCTAGCCTTTATCTTCAATCTATAAAAAGAGAAGACGTTGTCCCAACAGCATTACAACTACACACATTCTTCTGTAAGTTAAGTAATATTCTAACATTGCAGCACAACTCTACAAAGTAATGTATTAATTTTTAGTATATGTATAAAAAGCAATGCTGTTTGTTTAAACTGAGTAGAGTAACATGCAAAACAAGGTAGTTAGAAATTTTAGATTCCAAGAGGGGAAAAAATCTGAATGCATATATTTTGGGAACAAAGTTGAATTAAAATATTACCCGCACAGTGAGTATGAATACAGAAGCTTACTACTGTATTTTCCATTTTCTTAGTTTTCATTTTTCCCTTCTGAATGTTCATTAATTAAAAGGAAAAAGTGGCCTTTTAATTTGTAAAAAAAAAAAGGCTATTTACTTATTCAAATGTCAATTTAGAATCTGGCTTTAATAGCAATGAACGCACAAATATATGGGTAAATTCATTGCTAAATAATGGATCAGGACCTTTAAGCATATACATTGTCAAGTGATAGAAGCTGTGTCTCCTCAGAATAAGCAGCAAGGCTGTATCACTTTAAAAAACAGCTAGGCCCAATACTCAGCTAAAACTGGTATTTTGTATCTATTCCATAAATTGTTATGCCACTGGTTTTGAAATTAGCTTTTGGACTCCAAATAAACATCTCCAAAACTTGGTGGATTCCACTTCACTTTGCACAGGCCAGAGATCAACATTCTTGGATTTGATCCCTTTCTCAATTTTTGCAAGAGGGATCCTGCTAAGTAGATCCTGATAAATGTGTATGGAGATTCTCGGTCCTCCAGGTCATAGCTGTTGTCCCAAAGGTGATTTTTTTCAAACAGCAATTGGACTATTGTTTTTCCTTGAAGATGTTTTGCTTCTCATCCAAGAAGCTTCTTCCATTCTCAAAGCAGCTTCTTGAATGAGAAGCAAAACATCTTCAGGGAAAAACAAAGTTCAGTTGCTTTTTGAAAAAAGCACCTTTGGGACATATCCAATTAAGGCACAAATGCTGCAGAGGGAAAGCAATCTATACAAGAAGCTCCCATAGAAAAGCTTCCAAATGGCTTTTACTTTCTACCTTTACAGCTTCATGGCCTCACAAAAGATCTTCTGTAGATATTTTTCCCATTAAGACAGGAACCAACTTCCCATACTCCCATGTTCTGACCACACCAACCACCAATCTAACCTTCCTCGGCACAACTGGGTGTGAAGGGACATAGAAAACAGCATCATGTTGTACATGCATGGAAATGAAATAGAGTTAAGAGTTGGAAGGGACCTTGGATGTCTTCTAGTCCAACCCCCTGATCAGGCAGGAGACCTATACCATTTCAGACAGATGGTTGTCCAATCTGTTCTTAAAAACTTCCCAGGGTTGGAGCATTCGTAACTTCTGGAGACAAGTCGTTCCACTGGTTAGTTGTTCTGTCAGGAAATTTCTCCTTAGTTCTAGGTTGCTTCTCTCCTTGATTAGAATCTGCCTTCTTGTTTTGCCTTCGGGTGCTTTGGAGAATAGGTTGGCCCACTCATCTTTGTGACAGCCCCTCAAATATTGGAACACTGCTATCAATTCTCCCCTGGGCCTTCTTTTCATTTCACCACCTCAGGAGTTTAGTCACCTCTTCCCAACCCGTCCTTATGAATGCACAGGGTTCGTTATAGGGCAGGACCCGTTGAATGCCTCCCGATCCCTCACGACGCGACGACGTACCGAAGCGCCTTTTTATTTCAACTGTTATTCTATTCCACAATATCGCAACGATTGGCGAAGACGCCAATCGGAGTGGCTGTCCCGCGATCGATTACCTCGCCCCGCCCTTCCCGTCAGTTCGATCGTCCGAGCCGTGAACGGCGAGGATGATGGGAGCCGGAGTTAAGAGGCTCTGGGTCCGGCCGGCCTGGCCTAAAGAAGCTCCCAGACCCTTTTCAGGGAGGGGATCTCCCCCACTCACCGGCGTTTTCCCCGCGCGAGGCCCCCGTCCCGTCCCCGCCACTGACCTGGGGTCCTCAAACTCGACGAAGGCGAACGGCGGCCCCCCGCGGCGGTTCTTCAGATCGATGTCCCGAATGGCTCCGTACTTGTAAAACACGTCCTCGATGTCCTTAGTGCGGATGTCCGGCGGCAGGTTGCCCACGTAGATGCGGCAGTCGTTGTTCCCGGCCGGGCCGCGGATCACGCCGCCACCAGACATGGCGAGGTCAGCAATGGCTGCGGTTGGGTTGGTCGGTGTGTGAGAGAAGAAGCGGGAAGGAGCCCGAGAAGCAGCGGAGGGGGGGGAAAGAAAAGATTTTTTAAAAAAAAAAAAGAATAAATCGGGACGATCCGATCCAACCGAAGGAAATGAGGAGAGAAAGGAAGAAAGCGGGTGAGGCGGACGGGCAACAACAGGACCAGCGCGGCTCCGACTCCCTCAGCTGCCACAAAATGGCCGCCCACTCATGCGCTCTACTTGCCCTGCGCAAGGATCCTTCCGCGCCGTTGACGTCACACACTCCGAGGGGGGGAGAAAGAAGTGCAGCCTTCCCGCCCTTCGTAAGGCGCAAGCGCGGCTCTCTAGTTTTCCCTCCCCCCCTTCCCCGAAGATTTCTTTCCAAAGTTATTATGGAACAATACGGGGCGCCGTTCGATATGTGCCGCCGTTACATGCGGCGTTTTTAAGTTACCCTCTGGACCTTTATTTGAAAGAAAACACCTGATTTCAAATAGGCCTCGTGGCTGAGGACTTCCGTTAACCTCTAGGGCCGTGAACCGTTACAAGACCGCGCGAAGAAGATCCGGCTTTTATAAGGAGTTGCACAAAGAAGGAGGGTGAGTAATCCCACAGTGCAACACGCGAAGGGCTGCCTTGGCGCCAAAGAAAAGAATGTTCCCATATTGCATTGCGAAGAAAGAGGGCTGCCAATAGATTTGAGGTCAGGCGGCGACTGGAAACGAAAATTAAAATGTGGACACGCTGACACAGAACTCACCCTGGGAGGCTTCCTTTCCATGTAAAAGAAAATCTCGTTAAGGAAACAAACGGCATCATTAAAAATGAGGCTCGGCACACGCATCACCGAGATTTTTTTAAAAAATAAATTCCCTCGATATTGCAATTCGTTAACGTGCACGCAGAGAAAACACGTGTTTATATTCACGTGTGTTCTTGCAAAAGGAGAGGCTGCAATTCCCGGATGTAGGAATGTTCGCAATTGTTAGAATGTTTAGCTGGCATTTGTTGCATACGCTTCAGGATGGGTTGCCTGCATTTGCCACTTTATTAATTTATTCCATTGCATATTTTAATTTGCTTTCCTTATATTGGCAGCTACCTGGACTTGGGCAGTGCTGAAATCAATAAATTGAAGAATTTTCATCTCGGAATTGGATCCAATAGAGATAGTCCTCAACGTACAACAGTTTGTTTAGTGACTGTTCTAAGTTCTGTTAGGAATAAATTTTTAGAATAAAAATAAAGTTAAATGACACGTACTCTGTAAAATTTCTACACGTAGACTGCAACATTTCTACACAATTTCTACATGTACACGTACCTTGTAAGAATTCTGCACGTAGGCTATAGGATTTCCACACTGAGCTGTAGGATTTCATGATAAAGTACATATAAGGGAATAGGTGAAGCACAATAGTAAGGGGCAGGGATAATGTATTTTGTTTAGGCGGCTCTGATAAGATTGTAACCTCAGAGGAGGGGCCAAGGCATCGGGATAGAATGTATATAATGTGTGTTTTCGCTGTGACTAGGTGTGGCTCAGATATTTATTTGGAGTCCACCACGCTTTGCAAAGCGTTGTAGCCAATAAATCTCTGTCTAATTTCAACTTGCTGTTTGGTGTTATTCAGTGGGCTAAAATTTCTACCAACAGTTACAACAGCACTGAAAAGTGATCTATGATTGTTTTTCACACTATCGTTGCAGCAATCCTGTGGTCACATGATCAAAATTTGGATGCTTGGCAACTGACTTGTATTTATGACGGTTGCAATGTCCCAGGATCATGTGATCCCCTTTTGTGAACTTCTGACAAGCAAAGTCAATGGGGAAGCCAGAGTCACTTAACAACATTTTAGTAACTTAACAACTACAATGATTCAATTAACAACTGTATTGAGAAAGGTCATTAAATGGGGCAAAACTCAATAAATGTCTCAGCAACAGAAATGTTGAGCTCAATTGTGGTCATAAGTCGAGGACTACCTATTCAGAGTTCCAGATATTTAGACATCATCCCCAGATGGTGTTTGGCTGAGTTAGCTGAGGATAATAATCATCCACTTATTTGTTGGTTTTGTTAGATTGATGGTTATGTGCCATTAAGTTGTTTTCAATTTTTAGCGACCACAAGGATACATTTTTCTCCATGCCGATATGTCCTTAACCTGGTTTTTCAGATCTCTCAAGGATGCACCTATTGCCCCCTGTAACTGACTTTATATACAGCTAGTCCTCGATTTTATGACTACAATTAGGCCAACATTTCTGTTACGTCAGACAGTTGTTAAGTGAGTTTTGCCCCATTTTACAACCTATTTTGCCACGATTGTTAAGTGAATCACTGCATTTGTTAAGTTAGTAACACAATTGTAAAGTGAATCTGGCTTGACTTGTCACAAAAGGTGATCACAGGACCCCAGGACACTGCAATTGTCATAAGTATGAGCCAGTATGACAGACTCTAAATTGGGTCTTCAAACTGGGCCCTTTTATGACTTGTGGACTTCAACTCCCAGAAGTCCTCCGCCAGCATGCCTGGCTGAGGAATTCTGGGAGTTGAAGTTCACAAGTCATAAAAGGGCCAAGTTTGAAGACCCCTGCTCTAAATCATTCTTGAATAAGCTGAATGGGGCTCCCTTCCTATCTCTCTCAGTTGTAAAAATCTTCCTACTTTCAGTTTTCTGTCATTCACCCGTCCATCAGAGATCTGTCCTGCAATCCCACAAATGCTTATCTTACTCAAGATTTCTGAGAACTGGAGACGCTAAATATTGTGAAAGGAAATAAGAATGTTCAGTTTCCTTTTGGGGGGAAAAAAGCACATTTGGGATGTTATTCAAGTGTGTTTTTAATTTGAAACTTTATCAAAAGCTTTTTTGGGAAGTGCATGCATCAGCAGGGTCATCTTCATCTACACAAATAGTCTTGCATTGCCCTAAACTCCATTGAAGAGGTTACCTAGCTGATAACGAAACGTTGGAAATCAACCCACAAGCTCGGAGAATGAACCTTCACCCTCATCCTACACCTGAGCTACAGATATTCGCCACTATTGCAAAGTCTTGCATTTATTGAGCTTAGAGTGACTGAAAACTAACTGCTATTATATTCCCAAATCCAGTGAATTTTCAACATAAAGCATCATAAATGGGAAGACAATTGCCAGGGTACTGAATCCATGTTGAATCAGAAGAGGAGTCAGTGAAATTGGAACATGTTCCAAAAAGGGCAGTGATGAACTAGAAATGTAAGTCCTTTGAAAGACTGAAAAGAGCTAAATATGTTCGGTCTTGAGAAAGAAGGTGAAAGAAGGGGGAGACAAGGCTATACACCCCTCAACTATAGTATCACACAGAAGAAGGTCAAAACCTCTCTTCCTTTTGTTCAGAATGCAGGGCATGGAAAATGGACTTGTAACTTAGAGGAATTTTAGTTTAATATTGGGGGGTGGGGGGGTGGAACCCTTAATATTGGATGTGTTCCAATGGAGGCTAGATGGCCATCTGGAGGAGTGTTTTTAATTTAGACTCCTGCAAATCAAATGCATTCATAAACTTCCCAAGGATGAACAGGACAGCAATTCTCTTTTCTGCTCTTCTCCCCAGAGAGTAGTATTGAATAGGATTATGCAGAAATCCAAATTCAAAGGCAAAATGTGAGATTCAGAGCACACATGAGCATACACATAACCCCCATTGCAGGCTTCTTAAAGCTCTTAAAATAGGAAGAGGAGGAGGAGGAGGAGGAAGGTGCATTTGATATGTTTGCAGCTATGAATTATTTGTAAAAAATAATAAAGGCAGGAAATAAATCTATCTTCTATCTATCTATCTATTTATCTATCTACAGTAGTGGCCAAAATTGTGGAAACCTTTTGGGAAAAGTATACAGTAGAAATGGCACCTTTGGTTAAGTTTCCACCAATTTTTCTTCTAATTTCTTTATAACCGTAGCCTTGTTCACTTAATCGCTTTCTGGGCGACCAGTCAACTCTTTGCACCATTACTTTAATTTTATTATGTTTTACAAGCTCACTAAATGAAAGAACACGAAAAAACCCAACCAACTTGATAGCTATCATATAACACACTGACAAATGTCCTCCTCTCAGCTTCAATACATGACATTAATAACTGAATCCTACTGTGATCTGATTGGCTCATTGCCAAAACAAGATGACATCCGATTGGCTCTCTAAACACTCACGCTCATTGGCTACAATCAGATGAAGGAAAGCTACCTGATATCAACCTAAGCTTCCTTTTTCTGGTTATTTGGCTATAACTTTTCATAGAATATAGTACAGATAATTGAACAAACTTTGGTGCATTAGATTCTTGATTAAATTATCTTTCCATTGATATATAATTTTATGGTACTACTCCCAAAAAGTGGTGTTATTAGCAATCAAACCTCAAAAATACACTTTTCCCAAAAGGTTTCCACAATTTTGGCCACTAATGTATATCTATCTTTCCTGTCTGTGATTCTGTAATTGCCATTGATAGCTTGATCCTGTCTAAATTTGTTAGAACTTCGGGTTGGAATTTGTCTTTTTGCAGAATCCCTTCAGATGTCTGCACTGAATTCAGATAATGCAATTGCCAAAAACTGGGCATAGAATTTCTTGCCATTGTGAACTGTCAGGCATAACAAGGTAAACCAACAACCATTCCCTTTTTTGAAAAAAGAATCAGACACCTCCCTCCCACCCACCCACCCTTCAGTAAATGTTGGGCCTTCCCAGTATGGGATATATTCCGAGCTCTATGCATTATTGTTGTATCCTTTGGCTTCACATAATCAAGCTATGAGTAAAGCAGCCCATTGTTTTGGTGCATTCATATATGAGGGCAATTCGGAAATAAACCTCCGTTTGAGCATGTGCTAGAAATAGGTGGAGATAGCGATGCCCGTCCTATGGCGCCATACGCAGTAGTTCAGTAGGCAGTGAGGAGCGGAAGGAGAAGGTTGTGTTGCAGTTGACTCGTCCGCTAAATCAATTGAAAATGAACCCTGCCATAGAAAATCCCACCAAATGTGAAGTGCATGCAGCAATACAATTCCTGTGTGCGAAAAAACTTTTGGCAGCTGCAATTCATCACGAACTGTGTAATGTTTACGGACCAAATGTGATGAGTGAAGGTGTCGTACGTCAATGTGTCGCATGTTTAAAGATGGATGAACTGATGTGCACAGTGAGGCGAGAAGTGCCCGCCCATCAGTGATGAACTTGTGAAGGAAATTGACAAAAAGGTCCGTGAAGTCACATTGGTTCACAATATCTGCACTTTCTCCGATTTCTCAGACTGTTTTGTACGAGGTAGTGACAGAAAATTTGGGATACTGCGCTTGTTGGGTGCCAAAACTCCTTTCTGAGGAGCACAAAATGCATCGAATGGGTTCACGATGCTTTTACAGGGTGGCTTCACTCCCAGGGAGGAGATTTTTTTGTAGAAGAATTTCAAACCTTGTAAGACTGGACAGCCATTTGTCCAAAATGGTGTAGGGTTTCCTGCCTGAGCAGGGGGTTGGACTAGATGACCTCCAAGGTCCCTTCCAACTTTACTATTATTATTATTATTAAGACGTTATGAGAAGTGCCTCAATTGTTGAAAACTAATGTAATGTTGTAGTTTTCTAATGTATATAATAAAAGTTCTATATCTACGAGTCTCTGTCATTGATAATAAAACGGAGGTTTATTTCCAAATTACCTTTATATCTCTGTCAAGTGCAGGAAATCGGACTCCAGGCAGTTCAAATGATATAGGTTTACTGATACTAATGCTCTCTACAAGAATCTGAACTACTAATGGTAAAAGCAAATTGGTGGTAGATAAGAGTCAGTGGAATTCAAGGTGTGGTTATTTATGTCTGACAATCCTCCCCTTACTTTCCAGGCTCTGCTTCTACCCTCTTGCTCACATCCATCAATTGGCAGTTGCCTTCCCCATGGCATAGAAATACAGTTAGTCCTTGACTTACAACCATTCCTTTAATGACTGATGCTGAAAAAAAGCAAGTTATGACTGCTCCTTGCACTTAACAACAGTGGCAGCATCCCCACAGTCGCATGATCAAAATTGGAGCACTTGGCAACCAGCATGTACTTAATGATGGTTGCAGCATCGCAGATCACATGATCACCATTTACAACCTCCCCAGGGTGCTTCTGATAAGCAAAGTTGACCCCCATCTTGATCTTACCTCAGTCTGCCAGATGGGACAATATTGTCCATCAAAGAAA